TAAACCTTAAAAGACTGGCGGGAAGCAAGAGTAGTATATATAACCAAACATGGGAAGGCAAACTACGCAATACCCAAGTCTTATCGACCGATAAGTCTAACATCGTTCTTACTCAAAACCATGGAACGTACAATCGACACCATGATTAAGAGCAGAATTGCAAACGATATGCTCAAATACAAACAGCATGAAGGCGTTAAAGGACGTTCAGTGGAAACCGCATTACATGAGGTTATACACCACATCGAGAACACCTTCGATATGTATACACTAGCAGTATGCATTGACATTAAAGGCTTGCACAACACACTGACTTTGTCTACTCGATCATGTATTTGATAGGCAATGACACCCAACAACATCCTCCATTTTGATTTATGTGTGCCATTGTCTAAGGTTCGATCGTGGCATGGTTGACTCGAATATTTGCATGGTGTTCTCCATTAATGCAGGGTGTCAACGATGAGATCGAACCATGTCATCGTCAAATTGTGTGTCATTTGTGTACGGCTGCTTAAAATGAGAGTGTGTGTGTGTGTTAGTTTCGACGGCGAGGGTGTGTTTTTGTTTGTGCTGTAATTTTGAAGTAACAAACACCGCGTAAATATAAAATTGAGTTCAATAACAAAATGTGCATAGACATCAACAAATGAATAGAAAAAATGAAATATATACTAAACAATCCCAATTTATTGGTGATTATCATAAAATTTTGGTCATAAAACAGAGGTAAATATTGTTTGCCTATTTTCTATCTTCATATAGTGTTTTTTTTAAAATTAAAGTTTGTGGGCAGATATTTGAATCTCATTCAATAACAGAATATGCACATAATTGAACATTGGAAGTATATAGTGTTGTTACGTGAATTACAGTAGCACTCATTCTCATTTACACCTCAATACCGGAGGCAAACATTTATGAAATTATAATCAAAATAAGGAAATTTTCAGGGGATTATTGTTTTTTGATAAGGATTAACATTTTAGATCGTTTCATCAATATCCACGAAATGTGAAAATTTTGTGTGGACCAATTAATATTTTAGTATACGCCAAGAAATTCTTTATTACAAAAAAAATATTTTTTCACATATCGGAGGAGCAGGTAGCTATTGCGCTTTGCCTTCATCACGTGTGTGTCTTTTTCGTTGGCAATTGTTTCATAATTTTTGTTGTTTTTTCGATAGAACATTTTTGTATGACACACTATTCAACATTCCCTTTTATTGGTCATTACATGTTACGACGATGGGTTTGAGTGTGACCGACATGACGAGACATCGAGCATTTGGTTGGATGTCACGTACTGTTATGCGTTTGACCAAACAGGACAAAACATGACGAGCGTTTTCTCTCCATGGCATAAATAGAGAAACTTGTCACATTTGCAGCCCTTTAATTGACATCGAAGGTGCGTTCAACAACGTCAGCACAGATACACTCATCCAACCCTTAGATAATTTTCAGGTCGACCGGGCCCTAAGGGACTGGATAAACCACATGCTAAGGAAAGATGGATAAGCTGTGGACTATATGACGTTAACATAAGGGGCAAAATTGGTCAAGGAACTCCACAGGGAGGGATATTATCACCCCTCCTGTGGGTGACCACCATTAACAGTCTTCTAAGGACTTTAACCAATGAAGACTTTGAACCAGTCTGCTATGCAGACGACGTTATAATACTTCTGAGGGGAAAGAACCCTAACTTGCTGTGCAGAAGGGCCGAGTCGGCTCTGAAACTTGCATACAACTGGGCCAGACCAAGAGGTCTTAACGTTAACCCGTTAAAAACTGAGATATGTCTATTCACTAGTAAAAGAAAACTGGGCCATATCGTTGAACCGGTCTTCCTGAACAAGACAATCAATATTTCCAATAAGTTTAAATATCTGGGTGTGATTCTAGATAGGAAACTTAATTGGAGGGACCACATCAAAGAAAGAGCAAACAAAGCTCATAGATGTTGGGCAACGTGTAAAAGGGCTATAGGCTCTAAATGGGGTTTTAATCCAAAGATTACATACTGGCTATTCAAAAGCGTAATTAGACCTGTTCTAACATACGCATCGGTAGTCTGGTGAACAGCTTTGGATAAAAATGTAATATCAAAATACTACAGAAAGTCCAACCAATTTGCTGCTTAAGCATCTGCGGCGCAATGAAGACAACACCAACTAGGGCATTACAGACAGTTTATTTGTGCACCCAATAGAAATTCAGATACGGTATGAAATGGTATGGATAAACAAAGGCCACGCTACATACCATCAAATAATTTTGCAGGGAATAACGGGAGAATCTATAGAAAATTTTGTATCGGACCGGATATCGGAAACTTTTGTAGCTGCCTCATGTGAAACATTAATCCCTACCAGAGACTCGTGGATCGACGGATTCCTACCACAAATGCCGACTGGAAACTCTTATACAGACTGCTCAGTGCCTGGAGGAGAGATCGGGACTGGGACTTTTTATCGAGGATACAAACACAGAATCTCTTTCCGCTTGCCCGATCACAATACGATCCTCCAAGCGGAGGTCCGGGCGGTTGCAGAGTGTCTGAACTGGCTTAATGCCAACACGAGGCCGGCTACCGTAAACGTCCTAACGGACAGCAATACAGCTATAAGGACTATAACATCCAAAACAGTAACTTCAAAAACTGTTTTGGAATGTATAAATTCAATCAGGTACCAGGTCATACGGCAGTTAGGGGTAACGGGATAGCAAACTCTCTCGCGAAAAAAGGCAGGGAATCAGCAACAATAGTGTCTAGTGTTAAAGACATTGGAAAAACAACAATGAGGGTGTAGGGAAAACCACAAAAATCTTATGGGGCGATCCCGATGAGATAGAAACGAAAAACTTTTTATTACTAGGTAAAAAAGAGATCAGTAAAGTAACAGACATCCTTACGGGGCACCTGGGCCTACAGGCTCATCTGTACAAGATAGGATATGCAGAAAACAGCATATGCAGGGCATGTGGGGAAGATGACGAAATATTGGGACATTTTCTCAGCCAATGCCCCAATACATATTTGAAGTAATCTAACATATATAAAAACGAATGCCTGTGTGGTGCACTAAGAAAATATGTGTGGAATTATACCTTTAGTAATTAATATGTCACTACAGGAACATGGTAGAACTAAGAAGGTAAAGTCATGCAATCATATGTTTACAATTTTTTTATTCAATTCATTCAAAATTATACGTTTGACAACATCTCATTGTCAAAACGTATACGAGGCGGTTCGGAAACTTCTTAGTCTGTCAATGAAAGAGAATAGTTAGTTTTTCAAAAATCTTTTTTTTTAATATAGTCTCCTGAAACTTCAATACTCTTCGTTCAACACTTTTCTAGCAATTCTATCTTCTTCTAGTGGTTTACAACTGCAATTGCATCTTCAGTTGAGGTAAAGTGCTTGCCAACAAGAAATGGATGTCACGGGTCACTTTGATGATTTTAGCCATTGTTAAAACATTCTTATGCGCTGGTGCGTTGTCTTGATGAAAAATTATTTTTTTTGTATTGTAAGCCTGGACGTTTTTCTCGAATTTATACATTTAATCAATAAAGCACCTTTCAAGTCCAAAAAACCGTTGCGGTATCCTTGCCAGCCGATTGAATTGTTTTTGCCTTCTTTGGGGAAATTCCTCCAGCTTCAGTCCATTGTTTGGATTGTTTTTTGTCTCTGGGGTATAGTGAAACGACGCTTAAAATCCATTTTATTTTGCTCAAAACGAGAAATGTTCATTCTTATGCGTTTTTGATCGACTGTTAACAAACTTGCAGAAAGCTTTTTATCTGTAGTTTTTCATCCAAAATTAAATAGACTCCATCATTTGAGATGCCCATGATATTAGATCATGTAATACCATATCATGCACTTTGGTTACAATTTCTGTTGTTGTTGCTGTTTTTGGATTTTCAATACGGGGTTCATCTTCAATGCTTGTACGACCACGTTGAAATGCAGCAATGAAAATGTTGCATATGAAGGAGCACTTTTACCTAAAACATTTACCATATCATTATGAATTTCTTGTCCCGATGTAAATATTTAATGACAGCACGCATTTCTAATTTTTCCATTGTAAAAAAATGCGGATGTGTTTTCTTTGAACACCTGTTTCTATATGAAGGAGTTCGAAACAAAATTTAACATGTGTTCATAACAGAGATGGAAGTTTAAAAAAAACGTAACTTTTTTCTGTTTATACCGCGTTTTTTGTGCTAAGCTAAGAAGTTTCCGAACTGTTCTCGTATTTTTTAATCCATTGTATATTCCATGGTAGAATAATACAGGTAGATGCATCAACGCTTATGCCAACATTTTTTAAATGATTTTTCAAAAATAAGTAGATTTTTATATGTTTTCTTATACGACGCCTATCAGAGGTTGCAAAGAAACGGACACTGCTTTCTATGCAGTAAATTTTGACAAGGTAAATTACAAATATTCAAAGATGGGGTATACTTATTTGAAATAACTTTACCTTCTTAATTTTACCATGTATAGTAATAGTAGTAAAAACAAATTTATTAACAGCCTGTTCCGCGATATCGAAACAAAATTTGCGCTACTTTATGGATGATGTGGAGGAGGCTTCGAATTTGTTTGAAGTACCTAAAAACCAGTACATTTTTAAATAAAAAAAATGTATTTTCCTAGGATTGTGGCCAATCTTCGTTTGTCGAAGGAAGTTTTTCGGGCTCTTTTAGGTATTGTAGAAGACAAATGGGTCCCCGGTTGCAGAACAACCCAAATACACCCCGAGTTAAAACTTGGCACATTCTTGCGGTTTTTGGCGACCAGCAGAATTTGGGGAACGAAGCCCTGACTCCCAAAGCGAAGTCTACAGTAAGCAGAACCATTGCTGAATGTCTGCAAATTTTTGAGAACCACATTTGGCCCAGGGATAAAACAAAATTGTAAAATTAACATATTATTTATTTAAATGACAATATATGATTCAAAAATTTGTTTCAATTACTATTTATGATGATGGTTTGATGTTCCATGTGTTGGGATATTGGTTTATTACGTTGGTGTTGTTGTTGGATCTGTGTTTGTGCTGACAGTGTCTGATTTTTTGCAGTTTGTGTGTAGAGACCCCATCTCTACACACAATTCTTCCAGTGGTCTTCAAGGGATTACCTGCTGCTTCCAAAAAATGGCATTGTATGCTTACGTTTTCGTTCGCTTTGATTTTCGTAAAATTTTTCGTTCTGATTGATTTTAGTGGAAGGGAAATCATCTGTTTGCCGTGTAAAAGCAATACGAAATGGTTCTTTCGATATCGTGGAACAGACTGTAAAATGATTAACAACAATGAATAAGGTAAACGTACAGGAAGATATAAAAAAATAAATTATTCAATAGCGGATGATGAGCTATTTCATTTATATAGATATCAAATCCAGCTAAAAAAAATTGTGCATCCGTGGAACACCTGTGCCCATGCCTATATCAATTGGGGGTGCGACAATAAAAGTTATTTGTTGAAGACGGTATCTTTGTGCATGCGAAAGTTTTGTTTTTTTTATTATTCATTGCTTTTGTAATGAAAACTTAAAAAATAATGATCTACATCAAAATATTCCTGCTGTAAAAATTTGTGCCAAAGTTGTTTTGTTGGAGCAGCTGTTATTTTTATGCAATTTTTTCTCCCTGGAAAGGAATAGTCGTATGATTGTCAGTAACTTCTTAGTAAGTATATGTTAAAGGGAAAGTAAACGAACGAGCCTATAAACAATGAACACGTTTGCAGGAAATTCTTGGAATTCCGTCTGTCTGTCCGTGAGCATGTTCAAACGAGTTCATTATTAACGGGAGCGGCTTGAGCTGAGCGGCCGTGTGCAAGTTTAATCATGCTTATTACCAACGCGGATGGTCTGGTACGTCCGTCTAACAGTGTCGTTGACTCAGTTCCATAATGTTGTGAAATAAATGATAGGTGGTCTATGCCTGAATATAATGACAAGAACTAAAAATACCTTATGCATTCCATTGTTTTGTGTTGAATCTACAGCTGCAATTTCTGCCTTTAAGCAGATACGATAAATTTCGATAGTATCGGTTTGTTTCATATGAGTGCGATTTCCATTAGGAGAGAGAGAGGGAAACGATAAAAGCTGCTTAAAATCATTTTTTACAAAAATGAAATCACGCGACGGGGTAATGTGGAAGCAATAACCATTGGGTTGGGCCGTTGGCCATTCGGTCCACTTGATTCCTAGCAAAACTAACGGATGCAGAGTATGGAACATATTACTTTACACACTGTAAAAAATCATCGAGAAGGTCATAATCAATTACATCCACATCTGTCGGTCTATATTGTACAATGCTTCAATCATTTTTCTTCGTTATCTTTCACGACCACTATTTCATGCAATATTATAATTCTAGATCGTCATTAAAGGTCCCTGGTATGCGAGCATGTAGAAATTTGCAGGATTTCGTTGTTAAAACTAGGCGCGATATCCAGTTAGTTACTTTTGTTTTGGGTCTATTGTTAATAGTTTAGTTCAGAATATCTTTCACATTTCTTACACAAATGATTTTATGGGCCTTATTTTTAAATACGAAAACCCTTCGTAATATATTTGCTGCAATTTTATTCCTTAAGTTGCTGCAGTGTGTTTGGAAAACTCAAATTTTTCTATCGGTACAACGACAGTTGTAGAAATGTGTTCAGCAAGTTATTGTATAACTATAAAAGCTTAACTAACCACAAAGTACCGTTTTCGACAAATTTCCACTCATCTACACAAGTACAAAATAAGAAACAAATCTCGTTATCTAAATATTGGTTTTGTTTCGTTTCGTACTTCGAGAAAATACAGAACAAATCGAATGCAAACGTTTCGAATAGTTTATTTTCATTCGTCAAATAAGGCCAGATTGTTTAATTTTCACAAATGAATAATTTTTGTTGGAAAAAAATGGGTTTCAAGAAAAAAAAACCAGTATGATATGTCTTCGATTAAAATTATATTAAAAATATTTATTAGAGCAATAGATATACCAGACCGAGCTTTCCTCCAAATGAAAAAATTTATCCAATTTGGGCTGATTTTACATATATGGACAATAACCGTAAAATCGTATGTATGTCGAAGCTATATAAAAATCTGAACCGATCTCGATAAAATTTGGCCGAGGTATTTTCGACCTGTGTCTGATGTCCGGTATCTAATATCATTGATGTGGAGTGCATATTACGCATGTGAGGAACTTTAACTGCAAATCGGATGAAACATATATATGGGAGGTATAGTTTTATCTGAACCGATTTTAACCAAAATTTGAAGTACTGGGCTGAATTCCGTCGAAAGTGCCAAAATTTAGTCCATTTGGGCTGTATTAGCCATTTGGAGCACAATAAACCTGAAATGAAATATATATATGCTACATCCAAGTCTGAACCGATCTTGACAAAAGTTTTAAACACTTATGTCTGAGCTGGAGCTGTTGTGGAGTGCATATTACGCATGTGAGGGACTTCAAACCTCAAATCGGATGAAACATATATATGGGACTTATAGCTATATCTGAACTGATTTTTACGATATTTGAATATCGGATAAAGATATATATGAGACCTATGTCCAAATTAGATCCGATCTCGATAAAATTTTACAGAGGTATTTCTGGGCTGTGTCTGATATCTGGGACCAAATATCATTCTTGTGGAGTGCATATTACGAATATAAGGGATTTAAACACTAAATCGGATGAAACATATATGGGAGCTATAGCTATATCTGAATCGATTTTCTGAAATTTTAGTATTAATTTCCAATATTGATGTGGGTTTTATTGTGTAACAAATTTGAAATATTATCATAGATAATATTTTTACCTTAGATATGCTGGTGCATTGGACGTAATCCAAAACGAATTAAATTCTAATCGTCACAATGTAACGAGTAAAGCGTAGGTGTTGCCAAGTGACACTAAAACCACAAAGTTGTACTCAAACGTAGTACAAAAATAACAAAGTATGTGAATACAATTAAAGTGAACAAAAATAATCTTATATAGGGTAAGTGTACCAGTAGTCGGCACTTTTAGGATTGTCTATTTTTCAATCTTTCAACATTCTGAGTGAAATCTTTCAATTGCAAAAAAATGAAGTCGTTCAGATTCCAAATTTTGTTTAGTTTACGAAATAATAAACAACAATTGAATTTGTTTTTATTAAATTGGCAAAATTTGCAATTTTACTAAAATAGTAGTTTTTTGCCAGTAGTCGGCACCACTTTCCAATGCTCGGCATGTCTATTTGCCAGTAGTCGGCATATGGTATTTCAGTAAAATTATTTATATTTTTTTTTTTTTCAAATAGTATAAAACAATGCTATATTACTAATTCACAGTTCAATCCAGAATTTGAAATTTATTTCGATTTTAAATAGTATTTTGTTTAATTATCATTCTAAACCAAAAATAGGTAGAAAATCAAGAATAGTATTGTTACCTTCAGAAACGTATGGATTTTCAATTAAAATAAAAATGAGATTAAATAAAAAAGAAAAAAGTACCTTTCTTATATTTGGAATTTGTGAATTGTTCTTTTGGTTTTAGAAAGCCTACATTTTTTTCAAGAATGCCACCGCTATCTAAAACGACAAATAGCTGATTTAAAAAACCTACTTAATTTAGAAAAAATGGTCAAAAAGCACAAATAAAAGCAACTGTCGACTCAAAACAATTTTTTTATTTGAGTAGTTTTTGAATTATTTTTTAATACTTCTCTCAAGTTTTGGTGAAATTGGTCAAAAATGATGTTTTTCTAGTAATCGGCACCCCTTGCAAATCTCTTTTTTTCTGTTCCTAATGTCGGCATTAAATAATAGAACAGAAAAATGCTTGATTTTTATGTTTTTCACTTATAAAATGATCTTTAGACTGTTATTTACTATTATAAAATATTTCTGATTCCAAAAGTATTAAATTTAATTTAGTTAAATCGATTATTAAGTTGACGCCACCACTATTTTTTTCTTTACAAACAAGCACTATCGCACGCGTTGGAAGACACTCACTGACGAAAACCGTTATTCTCTCGTAATAAATAATCAGGGCCCATTGACATTTTACAGAAAGAGAGCAGAGAACACTGTTGATGTTTTTTTTTTTTTTTTTTTTTTTTTTTTTTTTTTTTTTTTTTTGAAATTATTTGATTATTTGGACAATTCTATTCTTAGTTATTTAAGTTTAAATTTCAAAACTGGCGACTACTGGGACATGCCGAATTGAGGCACACTTACCCTATATATAAAAGAATATATATAACTTAAGAAACGCTGGACTGATTTTAACGATTCATACAAACTCGGAATTGTCTCCTGGCCGAAAAGGATAAAATCCAAAAAATCGCGTAAAAATGTGATGTATTAACATTTTTATTCTGACTTTTGAAATGTACTATAGTAATGTTTTATTTTGTGACTTTTTTCTAATGTACATTTGTAGTGTTTTTTATATTTTATTTTTGAATTCGAATATTAATACCAATTTATTTAATTGACTTGATTTCTTGAGAACTGAAATTGAAGGCGGTTTACATGGAAGTGTAGTACCGAATTATGTGGTGGCGAAACGAAATAGATGATATCGAAATAATTTAACGCGGTCACACTAAAGTTAAAAGATAATTACTTTTTCAAAATCGCTAAAAAATCACGAAAAAAGAGATTTCATTGCACAAATTCTCAAATCGGGAAAAAATCGAAAAAAAAAAATTTTAATGGAATCGAATTTTGAAATAATAGTACATTCTATTGACAAACATAGCAGGACCTTTAAACTTCTGCTGTAAAAAATCATCGAACAAGGTGAAGATTTTTTCTTTTTCAATTGTTGTTTTCTGTCAATTTGTATATAATGTACGATTAAATTTTATATGATTTTTCATTTTGCTTATATATTATATATTTGGTGTGATTTTTTTTTTTAATTTGACATACTATATTGAAGTGTATATTTTTTATTATTTTGAATTCTGAATGAATAATATTAAAAATGAAATGAGTGTCCTACGTACATCATACTTCTTTCATATGACAATAACCCGTCTAATGAGAACTCAAAAAATGCAATTCATTGGGACTGCAATCAGTGAAATACCGAATATAAAGGGTGCAAAATGGAAGAGCGAATTGAAAATTTAGTAAAAAAAAAATTTATATCCTTCCAGAAATTCTTCCTAAACTTTCAAGATACCTTAAATCGCTTTTGCAGGTCATGACATATGACTCTCGGTTAAGGGTACATTCCGATTTCGAGTAGAGTTTACATTTTAACCATATGTTGCATACTCATTTCATATGATTTAAGCCATTTTCGGAGTCTTGGACATTTTTTTTTTTTCATTTTAGGCCTTTATTTGGCATCTGTGTTTATAAGGGGGTAAAAACCCCTTCTCATAAAATTTTCAATTGTCGGAGTAGTTCCCATCTTGGTTTTGACCATATTCATCAATTAATTTGGCTAAAAAATTGTATTTAGGCAACTTACAGATAAAAGATAATTTTGTATTCTATTGAATTTGTAACCCCCATGAGAATATTGGTTGGGTACGTAGATTTGGGATTTATGTCTATATAAAATGAACTCCGAAATGTCAAACGCATTCAGTCGGAAATTGTGGCAGACAATTATACTATGATGAAAAATATGAACTTTTTTGGGTCTCTAACGCACAATGTTATTGATAAAAATACATAAATTCCATTCTTACGGTAATGGGTGTAGACTATTCTGAAACCATTCTGCCCCTAATTATGAGGTGGACAAAACTAAATACCACACAGCGCGGTATTCTAAACGTTGTAAATTCAAATCCCAAATTACAGCTCATTGGATTGGAACATGTTGCATGGGGTATTATAGACGTTATATATCTTATAGGTTTTTAACACCCGATTAAAGCCTATGGCTGAAAAATAAGATCAACCTATTCAAAATATCTAAAACCGACGGTGGGTGATTATCCATTATAATTTTTGCCATGAATGTTTATTTCTATTTAAAAATTACTATGGAGTTATTTTAGTTATAATAAAAATTGTACCGCTTGCATAATTCAGATATGTGTTCTATTAGGCTTTAAAAAATATGCATTGAAGACTAAAAGTACGGGCCGGCAACGCGGACCGGGCCAGCTAGTAATTAATAAATTAAGGGAAACCAGGAGTCCCGAAAGGCATCATTATACGCGGATACACGTGCGGCCCTAGTACAATACCTACGCGGCCAGTTCGGAAGGGTGTGCACGGGGTTATGGTGCACAACGGACGGACTTGGAAATCATGTTGAACCTGAGGAAACGGACAGATCAGAGGATGCACATGAACGAATTCGATTTTGGATTATTTTGGCCTCCGCTCGTGATGAGCATGTATGCAGAAGGGTATTATGTTTTTCGTTTCATTCCGTCTTACAATTCCGCTTTAACATCGGCGACGCGGACGCAACCTTCGGTACCGGGATAAACATGAGTTACACTACCTAATTACCACGCTGTGTGAGGTAATTGTTGGTTATGAATTACTACAATATAATCCATTTGTATATCGCGCTCTAGATACTGCCATTTATACCGTTTATGCAGACCCTTAAGGCACTCTTCTTTCCACCGAAAGCAGAATTGCTGAGTAAGTGTTTTTAATTTACGGGGCTCAGGAGGAGCAAGGATCGCAAACCCAATAAGAAAATAACTTGGTGTTATTGCTACAGGATTTTCTGGATAATGATTCAGTGGACATAAAGGTCTTGAATTCAAGCACGCTTCAATTCGAACGAGAATTATTGATAACTCTTCGAAAGTATATTTAAAGTTACTAGCGTGTTTCTACAACGAATCTTAAAACTTTTGACCCCAGCTTCCCAGAGCCAACCCATATGTGGAGCTCCTGCTGGGATACATTTCCATGAAAGCTCTTGGTAGTTATACTGTGAACAAATCCTATCACAACTTTCACGAAGTGTGGTTTTAAACTCACGCTCTAATTCTCTGGAAGCGCCAACGAAATTGTTACCATTGCCAGAGAATATAGTTTTAGGGCAACCATGGCGAGAAATAAATCTTTGATGTACTGCTTTCGTAGAAAAGCAAACAAATACATATACTCTTTGTAATTTTACAAGAACGGCCCGTAAAGGATTCTAGATCGAAAGTACCTGCGAAATCTATGCTTGTAGTGGCGAATGGTTTTGAAAGTACGGTTCTCTTCGGAGGTAGAGATGCCATAATTTGTGAACACGACCTTTTTGCGTGGTTCACAATTATTTCTAATTCTAATTACGAATTAACGAAGTTGCTCTGTGTATCCAATATTGCATGCGTAACATGGGCAAAACCAACTGAATTCCTCCGTGAATGGATACCATATGTAAATTTATGTACCAAAAGAAACGACCAGGGTTTAAAAGCCAGCACCCATTGAAATTAGCCTTAGCCTTTCAGTGCAACTGTTGTTAAATATTGACACATGATCTACTATTTAGCTCAGCACATAGCTATTTAGCTCGTTTTTGATAAGCAAGCTATTTTGGTTTAGCCCTAACCAACAATAAAGCTAAAAATTCAGGACAAAAATAAGAAATAGCTCGGATTTCGGCTGCTGCTATTTTCGTTTTAGCCGAATGAGCAGCCGAAATCATATTTTTAAGATTGTGTGTGGTCAACGTACAAATTAATAAAACCTCAGGTTAAAGGAAACATTAGAACCCATTGTGACACACAAATGCCAATTTTTAGACAAATCCGCGAAGAAATGTGGAAAAAATCATCAAAATGGCGAATATTTGGAGCTACCGTTATATGGGAGCTATACTAAAATGTGGACCTATACATACAATGTTTCGGCACACAAGCTAGAACCCATTAGGAACAACAAATAACAATTTTTAGGCCAATCCATGAAAAAATGTGACAAAAACCATCAAAATACCGAATATCGGGAGGTACCATTGCAATACATGCAATGTTTCGCCACCGGAGCTACAACCCGATTTGACCAAGAAATACCAATTTTTAGACAAATCGTTAAAAATTTGGCAAAAATCATCAAAATACCAAAAATTGGAAGATGCCATTATATGGTGGCTATACCAAAGCGTGGACCCATACAAACAATATTTCGCCACACGAACTAGGACCCAAAAATCATCAAAATACCGACTATCGGGAGGTACCGTTATATGGGGACTATACCAAAACGTGGACCGATATGTCTCATTTTTAAAACCATCCTAGACACAATACAAAATTTTCTATAGAATTTTGACGCTCTACGTCAAATAATGTGGGCTCTATCGCGATTTCAACAGACAGACGGGCAGACAGACGGCCATCGTTAAATCGACTTAGAATTCTATGCTGATGATGAATATATATACTTTATGGGGTATACGACGAATATTTATGGATGTTATAAACGGAATGACAAAGTTAATATACTCTCCTTTCCAAGGTGGAGGGTATAATGAGATAATAATTTCAAAGAAGTACATTCAACATACAAACTATTTATACAACAAGTACAGCTTCTACAAAACTAAACAGATATTCTTCACGTCGGTCCGACCCTACAACTTGACTTGGCCTCCTAATATTACGATGGAGATTATATAATTTTGTTTTTAAATGTGACATCACCCAAATGTATCGCCATTTTGGAGTTAATTGTGCTCTCTATTTAGCCATTCGGACATTGTTTCAATTGGCTGATGATACTAAGTCCGATTTCCCCTTAGCTGCTCACATCCTACGGAAGTGCATGTACGTTGACGAGGTACTGGCGGGATACCACGATTTGGAGACTGCACTGACTGAATTGCGGAAATGGACATCTAATGTTCGCTCTATCTTACAAGCCATTCCCGTTGACCCCATAAACCAATGCCCATTAGATGGAAAACTCATTTAGATATGTTCTATTTTTATGTCAAGCCCCTTGTTCTCAAAAATAGTTATACAAAGCGGGAAGTGTTATCCGCAATAACTAGGTTATTTAATCCTGTAGGTTGGTTAAGCCCAGTAATCATAGTGGCAAAAATGTTCATACAACGCATATGGATTTTTTAAGATTGATTGGGACGATTCTCACATTTCTTCGCGGATTTATCTGAAAATTGGTATTTTTGTGTCACAATTGGTTCTTATGTTTTCTTTACCCTAAGGTGGAGGGTATTAAAAGATCAGCCCGGACGAACTTAATGTTTTTTACTTGTTTTTATTAGTCTTTTCCGAGGAATGTAAATTAGTTAAATAAAGAAATTACTTAAGTTGCATGTGTTTTCCATATGCTAGGTGTTTAACTCAGGGAAGTGGAGGAATGGCAGACACCGGCAACAACAACGAGAACTCCCCCGAGTTATTATGTGATTGTGAGAGGTGCGGGTGATTCGCGTGTGTGGTGAATGCGGTGAAAGGAAGAAACTACAAAGCAATGAAACACAAGATATTAGTAATAAATTCTAAATAGTTTCATTCTTTATTGGGGTATTTCTTTTTTAGTACACAACAAAATTACCTTCAGTAATTTGGTCAGAGGCCTGGTTAGTATAACCGCGAACGAGGGTTAGGCGCGACAAGCGTACGCTTCAGCAACTAAACTACAAGTGAACGCAGAGGTTCTTGCAATCGCAGAGGATCGCAGTGATCGCCGAGGATCATTGTCGATAACTACTACTACATTTACAATTATTTCCAATGAGAGCAGAGTCTCGTATGTATCAAAGTGAGCTAACCAACAACAACCACCGCTCGGTGGCATCTGCGCTTTGCCGAGGAGATGCCCGTTGTGTCAATCAGCATCCGTGATTGACTGGACTCGGGAAGTTGAAGGCCAACTTAAACACTAGGTTTATGGTTGGTAATAAATAATGTAATAAATGTCACGGCCATAAATAGAAGATAAGAAAGGTTCGATCACAAAGTAGGTACATTTCGTTTTCTCCCGCAACTTTTTGTGTGCGTGGAGTGCATTATGTATTTAGACACAACATACATTAGTAAATAAGTTCATGTGTATTTTTATGGTAGATGTTAAGGCTAGATTTAGTTTTTCTATCTATCTATTTCTATACTCAACAACATTGCGTCTCTATTCATTGCTCTTCCCCCTGACAATATCATTGAGGATTTTCCCATTAGATGTTTCTATCAGCCAAATATAGATTTGGCATATTAGAAGCAATTTCCCTGCCGATAGAAAACGAAGGAAGATTGCCAGACATTGTTGGAACTACTAAAGCTGTCATGTTCATGAAGAGAGTACTGTCTATAGGAAATCCTACACATAAAGAACATCATTTTCACGATATTGTTGAAATTGCTTGATTTACTCCTGAAATTGTAGCTTGAATAGAAATTGTGGCTATACCAAGACGCTGATGTAATCTTTCTGAGACAAATGATGCTTCAGAAGCAGGATCTATAAGAGCACTAGCAGGGTACGTAACACCCTAATGAATAATATTGACTATTGTTGTGCCCAATAGAACAGACTTGTTTAACGAGGTATGGAATACCTGCCTAGTTAAAGCATTGCACGTTTGACCTGATGAAGTTGAAGATATATTAATTAGTTTGATTGGAACGTGAAAAATTAACCAATTGAGAAGATGATTGTGACGTAGTCATTGAACTATTATTTGGTGCCGTATCATGGTGAAACAGGGTATGATGTCGTTTTTGACTTTTTGATCAACTATGGGACTGATTCAATTCCTAACATCATGACCTCGGGATAGACAATTAATACAAAGTTTGTACCGCTTTGTAAGTGAATAGCGGTATGCTGAAGATCGCTTCCTAAATTTTGGGCATACGCTTAAATGATGGATTTGCCTAGGACAGAATATTCAGAATTTATCAGAGGAAGATTGTGAAGGCTTAGCTGGAGCAGCATTCGTAAAATGTGTCCTAACATTTTTTTCTCTAATTTTTGACTGGAATCTATTCCTTTTACATTTTTTGACTTTCTGTCAAAAAAAGATCCAATTCTTTCCAGGAAGACAACGCTGATTTCTCTTTTGTTCCTTGTTCCCACAGCTTAGCTGTATTTTTGGCCTTTCAGTAGCAACATCGTAAATTGATATAGAAGAGACACAACCGATAATACCTCTTTGCAAAACTTTTAAACCTGCGCTAGCTTCTATATCGAGCACTGATAGATCAAAAAGAGCCTTAAGTTGGTTGTTAACCACAATACGAACATCATACATATCAATATGATTTTTAATGATTAAGCTAAAACTTTTATGAATAAGAGGGAATCTTTTCACAATTTCTCGGTCGTCTCAACTAGTTTTCTTGAGAAGATGGCACAATTTCTATATATATCTAAGGCGAGAATCATCAATCTAGACCGCAGAAAAGAAAGCTATTAAAGTTGGTCAAGTAAGAACATCACGATCGAAAACATCAACATCACAAGGTGGAAGGTTAAGCTATGTAGGAAACTATCATTCATCGAACCAGTGGAAACATGTGGAAGATTAACTGATTGATGCGAAACACCTGAAACCGAAATCGTTACCACAAATTGTGATAAATTCGCTCGTGGAGTGCTTGATGGATTTGCTACTTTAGGAGAAGTTTGAGCTATCGGCGAAGCGGATCAACTTCCCTATTTATAGCCGATAATACCTTTACATACGCTTTAAATGGGACATCGTACTTACTCTCAACCGACGTTAATTCTTCTGCAGAAAAAGTATTAGAGGACTGAATGTCATTTAAACACTTTTCGAAAAAAATATTCAACTTTACTCCAGAATGGAAGTGAAGTTGGCTTCGAATTTTACATGAGCATAAGGTGGCTCTGATCAGAGGGCTGCAATGAATATGCAAAAATTCAACCACACACGGTTTCGTACATGATTTTTGTTGATGTAGTCGTTTAGTTTGTTTTAAATGAAACGACCGTTTTCGTCATTGTTTATGCAACCATTCAATCAAGTTGGGACAGCTCATTTTGATTTTTATAAAATTTGAAATGGAAGAAAATTGTGATAGTGCGATCGAAATTCTTGCAAGTAGAAACTACACACGTGTAGGTAAATGAAAAGGTCGAAGTTTGTGAAAAAAACTTGAACAATATTGTAAAATAAGAAAAAATATTCAAACATTTCTTGTTTACTAAATACGATTGAAGTGTTTATAATTTTGTTATATTAATTTTGTTTTTTAGAAATAAGTCACTGAAGTCTGACATACCAAAAACCCAAATAAAATGAATAAAGTGTCTGTTTATTAAGTATAATTTGTACAAATTTCTTTAATGAGGACAATTACACTCTCGATCTCGCTGAGATTCGAACATTTGTGTTTTAATCAAATCACTCACTTAACTAGGATGAATCAAACCAATCAACATAGATGATAACCCCTTATGAACAATTCAACATAAGTTCGTAAAAAAATAAAATAGCTGCTTAATTGCGAACACAAAACTTCGATCAATACATGTTTGATCACAACTTTTTCGTTTGGCTTGAGCAACACAAATGAGCATGTTACATCTGACCGACTGATTGAGTTTGATTGTATTTCAATTGTGTGTGATCAATCCTACTCAATCATACTCATTGCAGCCCCTGTCTATGATGAAGAAGTCGAGAGGAGTCAAAGGCATATTGAAAGTAAAGATGTGTTAAAAGCTCAAAAAATCTAAAAACTAGTTAATTATCGGAGCAAAACACCAAATTTTCTAAGTGTATTGGAAGTACTTTGTACGTAATATACAAAGTTTTAATTATAATACCAAAGTGTCCAAAAATATTAAAACTTTTCCTGAGAGAAGAAATATTTCCTCGAAAAAATCAAAGATATTCCAAAAAAAAATAGTTTTTTAAATTACCGGTTGTAGAGTGCACGGACTGTAGGGTACACACGACAGAATTTTTTTTAAAGTATTCAAAAAAATTATCAAAATATATAAAAATCAAGAAAATTCAAAAGATATATAAAACAATATTTTTAATAAAATATGTTTATAAAAATATATATTCACTACTAACGAGGACCGACTGTAGGGTGCACGACAATTTTCCAACAATTTTTTATTCGCGTTTATATTAGAGTAATATTTTATCACAAATTATACCAAAAAATTTCCCACCAAAACTTTTAGTTCTACTAACTTTTATCAAACGCGATGGCAACCCTATTCGTGTGTTTAACTGGTGGTGAGTGGGAACCATAGGTGCACAAAATGAACATTGCGCTTGTATGTGTGAGAGAAAACAAAAATGCACGTAAAGAAAATTTTGATTACAGCAAGCGGTCGATGCTTGGACAGCGAACACATGTATGACTAGATACGTTTTTTTATGAAAATAAAATGAAAATAGTATATATGTAATTGGATTTCTAATTCGAATTATTTAGGAAAATATAAGTATGGAGGTTTTGCAATTTACATATTAAATTAAAAAAGTAAAAATACATTGAATTTGTATGAAATAACTTCTTTTGTAATTTAGTGTTTCAAGAAATGTTTGAATATGTTTATTTTACATTGAAAAATAATGTGTGAAAATGTAGATTTGTTTCAAAAAGAAGTAAATTTCAGTTGATAAGGGTTCAAGGGGTTTAAAAAATATACGTAATAATGTTATATATAGTTTGACTTAAAACAGGATGTTTTCCGATGACAATAAAAGGCACTGTACATTTCCAAAAGCATAAAATAAGAACTCAAAATATTCATATTTCCCTACGCATCCAGTCTCATTAAATCTGTCATTTGTTTTCTCTAAGTGTTCACGGCAAAACAATGCGTGCACCACCCGAGCATGTGTGTATCCGTTGAAGTCTCATCAACGACTGAAAGCGAGAGAATAAAAATACACACGAACGCGACATCGACGAAAATGTACTATTTTGTGCATCTTAGGTGGGAACAGACCATCCAACATTAACAACAACAATAATGGTCGTTGCTGTTAATGCTGCTGTGTGGTTTGACGAATGCCTTTGTATTTGTTCTTGTTTTTTATTCTTTTTATGGTCTAGCCTTATTTTTTTTTTTTTTTTTTTTTTTTTTTGTACTTCTACGTCGTCAAGTATGTTGGTGGTTAGAACACTTTCGTGCCCATTCACCATGACCGGTTATTGGTTACTTGAAAAGTATCAGTACTCTTTTATTTTCGTTTTCTTTTTGTTTACAGTATATGTGTGTTTACAGAATGTAGTGATATGAATGGAATATATAAGAAATCAAAACAAGAAAAAAAAAATCAAAATTAAAGGAAAAAATAAAGAACTGTAAGCAAATATGATGATTATTTACAAATAAAAGTCAAACTTCAATTTTGCAAAGTGCAATAAAGTTGATTAATTCATCTATATTTTGTTGGTTTTTGGACATCAGGATTTCCGGTAAGTTATTAAATTTCTTGAACAAATCAAAATCATTCCTATGATTTTGATGCTTTTTGCAGAAAAAAATTATGTGTTTTTCATCTTCAATTTCGTTGCAGGTTTCACAAAGATTTGAGTCAGCAATTCCAATCCTGTGGAAATATTTTTTGGTGTAAGTATGACCAGTGAGCAATCGATTAACAATCTTTATGTTTTCAGGTTTCATGTTTGATGAAAAGAACCAGGGCTGTTTAGCAGGCGCCGGGAAGAATTGGTAGAAGTAAGTTCCTTTAGTCCGTGAGATGTCCTTGTAATTTTCTATAAACTCATTCCACAGGAGTGGCTCAATGCGTTTCGACGCATCTGTGACCGACAGACAGAAGTTGATTGGTGAACCAACATTTGCTGCATGCTTCGCAAAATAATCGGCTGTTTCATTGATTGGTATACCGACTAGCCTTAGGTGTGTCTGGTTACTTTTCCTGCAACAATTGTCCAGCAACATCTTTCTGAGAGAGTAAGGTACTTTTATTCTCTTTTGCATGGAAGATGCGAAAAGTAAACAGACGGTATTCCTGCAGAAACTTGCAACTAATCAGCTGTTTTGTCAAAACAAAACAATTTGTCCCCCATTCAAAAAAAAAATAAATAAATAAAACACTACCAATTTTACAAGTTTTATAAATAAAAAGGAAATTATCTATAAAATACAAATATGAGCAATAAAAGAGAGATAGATTTTGATGTTTTCACCGTGTTGCTAATGGCGCTTATATAAAGATGTTGGAAATAGTCTTTTATTTCCTTATTACGTATTAATATTTATTTTTTTCACATTCTGTAAAGTTGTTCTTTAAAAACAATTAATCTTGCTAATTCCAAAAAAATATTATCAAATTGAAAGCACAAAAAGAAATAAACAAACAATAGAAATCATCTGATCGAATGTCGATGAATGAGAAGAAGAGTTGCAAATGATTGCAAGAAGAAATTTGTCCAGCAAGAATTTGCAAACTCTCACTGAAAGAACTGTCAAAATTTCTCTCTCCAACAGCTCTCTATTGCAGAACTTTCGGGTTAACAGACGACTTCTAGTAACAATTTGTAACAATTGTTAAAAATTTTAGGGTAACCAGACACACCTCTTATATCTGTAGGTTTTTTGTAATGGAAGAAAATATTAACAATCACTAAATTTATTTTAAACACTGTTTCAATGTTTCCACTTTATTTCTTTATTATTCTCTTTAAAAAACCACCACTTTTGTATGACCGATTGAATTTGAAATGATCGAGAGAAAAAAAAAAACAACAACGAAACGCGTATTTTAAGACTACCTTACGTTATTTTAATTTTTGGGCAGTTTATTTAAATGCAAAATATAAACAAAAACGAAACACTTGCGATTTCACTCTTAAATAAAGATACGTACCTTAATTTTTATTTGAAATTTAAAGTTGAAAATAAGAGATGAGAGATGAGGGGACTTGATGATGATAAGTTAAACTTCTATGAATATAGAAGAAGAGATTTTTATTTATTTGTCGTAATCTTTGCGTAGCAATGAAAATAAAAAAGGTAATAATAACATAAAAGATTTTAGTTTTAATTTTCAATATTGAAGTGGCATATATTGAGTAACAAATTATCTTAGATAGTATTTTTACCTAAGATATGCTGGTGCACTGGACGTAATCTAAAACGAATTAAATTCGAATCGTCACAATGTAACGAGTAAAGCGTAGGTATTGCAAAGTGGCACTCAAAGCTTTATTACTCGTTAGAATTTTGTCATTAATGATTTGAGCTAAAACCACAGATTTGTACTCAAACGTAGTACAAGAATAACAAGGTATGTGAATACAATTAAAATTTAAGGAGCAATAATAATTCTTTATTGAACAGCATTTATGAACTACTAGTTGGCCCGGTCCGCGTTGCGGGTCCATACTTTTCGTCTTTAATGCATATTTTTTAAAGCCTAATAGAACACGGTTCTGAATTATGTACGGCACAATTTTTATTGTAAGTAAAATAACTCCATAGTAATTTCTAAATAGAAATAAACATTTATAGCAAGAATTATAATAGATAATCACCCACCGTCGGTTTTAGATATTTTGAATGGGGTGATCTTATTTTTCAGCCATAGGCTTTAATTGAGTGTTACAACCCTATATGATATAGAACATCTATTTTTGGTATTGTAAAGAGCTTAGCAACATTTTCCATTCAAATGAGCTGTAATTTTGGATTTGTATTTACAACGTTTAGAATAACGTGTGGTGTGGTAATTAGGTTTGTCCAACTCATTATTAGGGGCAGAATGATTTCAGAATAGTCAAAGATAATTACCCTTCTACACCCATTACCGTAAGAATGGAATTAATTTTTTTTTTTTGTCATTTAAATTGTGCATTGGAGACCTCATAAAGTTCATATTTTTCATCATAGTATAATTCAATGACGATCAAAAAAATTAATATTAGTAATTATTTCATCCGACAAAATCCGACTGAATGCGTTTGACATTTCGGAGTTTATTTATTTTTTTATTTATTTATTTATATTCAATTAACTCAGTTACCTAGCCCCTAGGGCCATGGGCGGTTCCAAAAACATCCATACATAACTACTCTAAAATTATTTATAATATTCTTAATCTTAAAGATAATTAAAATTAAACAATAAAACAAATTTACAAAAATAAAAAATAACAATTGATTTAATAATAAGATGAATCAGCTATGCAAGAGAAATACAAAAACAAACAAGAAAATCACGAAAATTTTTAAACAATATGTTGGTTGAAGTGAGCATATAATTTACCCTTATAACATTTTAAGGAAGAATTAAATGTCTTAAGATTTGGCGGCAGATTGTTGAAAATACGAGCAATTCTAACATAGAAGAATTTTTCCAACAGAGGAGTCAAGCGTGTTATAAGTATTTGCGGGTTCCTTGCAGATCTAGAAAACTTAAAGAGATCCAAAAGAGAAGAATGTGTCTGCAATTTAAAATGTTTGTAGAAGAACAACATTGACCTTAAACTCACATAGCAATCAAATGAACAACCAAGAAACTCTTTCACAGAAGGAGATATATGGTCGCCACGTTTAACACAAAAAATATATCGCATAACCCTATGCAACAAAAGTTTCAACTTACGAAAAACAAAACCACAACTACCCCCAAAAATCTCAATGCATTATAAAAAGTGAGGCATAATCAGGGCATGGACCAACTGAATTCTAATTTTTTTTTTTGGCAAAACTATATCCAAACGATTCAACGTTTTTAAAATAAAATTTACCTTTGGACACTAAAGAATTCACATGCACATCAAATACCAAACCAGAGTCAAGAAACAAACCAAGACATTTCATCGAGCTTACAACATTTATAGGCGTCCTATAAATGGAAACGTTTATTGAATCCTCTGGCATGTTCCCCAAAAACATTACATTAATTTTTTGAGTATTTGTTGAGAGGCCATTACAGGACAACCAAGTAACCAACTTATTAACATTAAAATCAATTGATGACTGCAACACATCCATAAACACATATTCTTCTTTAAACAAAGTTTGAATGTCATCAGCAAATGCAAATGACACACAATTCCTACCATTAATACAACTGAGCAAATCATTAACATACATGATGAACAATAGAGGGCCAAGAACAGATCCTTGTGGCACACCACTGGAAACAACATTTTTACAACATACATACTGTTTTCTCGCAAACAGGTATGAAAACAATAACTTGCAAGCCGAGGACGAGAAATTGAAGAAACGATGTAGCTTACTGATTAAATTGGCATGATTTATCATGGGAAATGCTTTTTCCAAATCAAGTGATAATAAGACGCAACAATCACCAGCACTGACACAATTTCGAATATTGTCAGTCAATCCAACCAGAAGAGATGTTGTGCTACGTTTACTTCTGAATCCATGTTGACTCGGGTGTAATAGCGAATGCTCATTTATATATTCAAGCATTTGATCTTTCAATACATACTCAACCATTTAAAAAGAATTGGCATTATTGATATAGGTCTGAACTCATCAGAATCACTACCTTTATGGATAGGCACTATTTTAGCAACTTTCCAGACCTCAGGAAATGCAGACACTGTCAACATAGTATTAACAACATGCAGCACAAAAGAATAAACAAAGGGAACACAAGCTTAAGAAATTTAAGCCTGAAGCCATCATAGCCTACTGCCGTTGACTTAATTTTATTAAAGGCACTAACAATTTCATTGTAATTAATGGCCCGAAACGAAAAGCCATCATTAGTCGTCCTTGGAACACAAGAAATATCGAAGACATCCACAGATTGATTAGAGACAAAACAAGAATTCAGCCTCTCAACATCCACATTATCAACTTCACTTTCTTCATCACACAATCCATTCTTATGTAATATTGACCACACTTCTTTTGTGGGTTTATTTACAAACAGCTGCTTATGAGCAATACACTTCAATTTCCTTATAATCTTCTTTGCACGATTCCTACAACGGCAAAAAATCATCCAATTATCTAAACTCCTATTTTGAAGATATGCCTTATATGAAGAGTCTCTAAGGGAAACATTTATATGTCCAACATTAACATTTTCCCCTTAAATTAAATGACTGATTCGACAAAAAAAACGATTATCACTAAAAACTTCACCTAAGCTGGTTGAAAAACTCATAATGATAATAAAGAGCAAAATATAAACAAAAGTAAAAAAATAACGAAATCGAAAAAAAATCCAAGAAAATATAAATATCAAATAAATAATATACAGTACACTAAACTACTCAACAAGCTCCACTTACAACAGCACATCAACATTCCGCTGTGAAACAGAAACAACAGCATCAACACCACCAACAGAAGTATTTTCCACAGCAGAAACAACATCGCCATTTAACATACTGATACACCGGGGAATATGAAATTCATCCTCCCTACCATCTGGGAGTAAAACCAACGCCTTAGGGTTGTCCTCACTTTTTAGCTTAAATCTTCGGATCTCATTGCTTCTCCAAAGCTTTCGGCAAAGGTACATTAATTTAAAGGCTGCATGGTTATGGTGATCATTTAGGTACACTCTGCTTCTCACACCTACAACAGTAATATCACTAAGCAATAGTGAATTTCGGCGCTTTTGGTAACTAGCCATAAGTTTGTCTCTAACAAGCACAGAATTGAACTTCACAAGGACAGATTTACCTTTTGAGATATAGCAACAGTGATTGACATCACAGGGTTGCACATCAACACTACACAATGTAGCTATTCTTATCACTGGTTCTCTTAACTGTTTTATCCCATCAGGCAAGCCACTAATAATTATATTTGATCTATTGAGGCGCCTTGTAAGGATATCACTTTCAACATCTGTTTCAAACATTGAAAATGCTAACAATAAGTTTGACAGCATCTTGGCAGCGACGGAGTGATTCCTCAACATTCTGAATCTTAACATCAACCTCCGACCGTATTGTTTTCACAACGTCCTTTATCTCAAGCATGAAGCTCTCAAATTGTTTCTCAAGGCATAACTTGTAAGATTCAAACTCTTTCTGCATTGATCCAATAACGTCAGAACCAATTTCAACGCTGTTAGCATTCTGTGTACATACGTTGGCTGAAGCAGAGGCAGCAGCCCCATCAGTGCTCTTCTTGATACACGTAGGACACTTAAACAAAAACATCATTGTCTTCCTATGCTTGTACAAAAAACTGTGTTGCTCTCTCGAAACATCGACACATTTAATGTGGAAAAACAATCCACAAATATATATATATATATGTATATGTATATATATATATATATATATATATATATATATATATATATATATATATATATATATATATATTTGGATTTTGATCTGCTAATTTTCACTTAGAATTTCACAACTTCCAGACTGGCTGTTGCACAATGTTTTTACTCGCTATTGCATATTGTATATCGGTATATATATATATTAATATATATATATATATATATATATACATATATATATATATATATATATATAGATATATATAGATATATATATATATATTATATATATATATATATATATATATATATATATATATATATATATATATATATATATATATATATATATATATATATATACCGATATACAATATGCAATAGCGAGTAAAAACATTGTGCAACAGCCAGTCTGGAAGTTGTGAAATTCTAAGTGAAAATTAGCAGATCAAAATCCAAAAGGGGGCTTGGGTTACGGTTACCGAAAATAGGGAGGTACCAATTATGGAGGCTATTCCAAAACATGACCCATTTTCAGTACCAAAAATCCTGCAGACATAACATATATTTAAGTAAAGCTAGAGTGATTTCCATAGACGGACGGACATCGCTAAATCGACATAGATTTGTTTGCTGATCAAGAATATATATACTTTGTTGGGTCTAAAATGTATGTTTCGAGGTGTTATTAACGGAATGAAAAACTTAATATACCCTCCATACTATGGTGAAGGGTATACAAAGGGATTCTCAAACATGGTTGTGTTTTGTTTGAGACTGATATTAATGTTGAAGACAAGATTACTTTAGAAGAACGACCGAGAAATAAAAAACCGACCGAGAACAAACAAAGAACAATTAAAACTATAATAAAGGCATTGTCCAAACCATATAAATGTTGTTATTTCAATAGATTTTGAGTAAACAAGCCTTGTTATAAATATTACTCGGTTTAAAAAATGTATTTACAGATAACAAAGACCAAGTATCAAGACAATTTTGAATGATTTTATTACTAATCGCATATGAAAACAGAATATTCTATTTTTGGAAGAATTTGTGGACTTTTCTTTAGGAATTTGTGGGTTTCATTAACTGCTGAAACAGATGAAGGAAATATTAAGGAATTTGTGAAGTAAAACCCAAAACACAAATGAGAAAAGGCTAAAGAATAGAAAGGCCGACTATGTGATAAGTTACACAACAAAATTTTGCGGTAAATAGTAGGTAACACTGTTGTGCAACTCTTTAATTATTTAAGTAGTTACCGACATAAATCGGTAAAGGTTGTTCAACTTAAAAAACTAGGAAAATACAACTTTGTGACGGAGTTTCATAGCGTCAAATAGACTTTTAAAAATGCAACAATTGGTTTTGTTTATTTTATATTTTTTCTTGCAAAATTCTTATAATTGGGAAAAATTACAAAATATGAAAGAAATATTGTGGTTATTCCACAAAATTGAATCTACGATAAAAGAACAATGCACATTCAGAATGCGGTGTAAAAAGCTTACCTTAGGACCGAATGTCCAGTTCTATTCTATGTGTATAATACGCTATTTGACTTTCCAACATATGTGCGACTTGTTAAACAGATAATAATGAAATATGCAAACTATGCAAAAAGATAGTGCAGAAAAATACTCTTCGTGTTAAAAAGTTATTGTAATATGTGCATCGACATCTTGCCCTTACTCTTTGGGATAATGATTCTCATTATACTAGAATTGGTTGAAAATCAATATAAGGCGAAAAAGTACTTTTGAACTAAAAAAATATTAAACAAATAAAAGATCTAAGACCGTTTGGATTTTTATGCCAAGAAAGGCTACCAATTCATCCGACCAGCTCCTGTGAAGCTGTGTGAGATTTGCTATTTCTATCAGTGTTTCCAATATAAAGGAAGATTGAATAATTGATGTATAGTTCTTGGATAATGTAAACCACCAAACCAGATACATAACTCTTCTGAACATCAGCTCTCTGAATTTTTTCCAGCGTTTTATTTTTAGATTTTTATAGAAGTTCTGTTTCTCTGTTTCTATTTTATCTAGCAGAATGTGGGAGTTGGTATAAGCATCTGTTTATAGTGTCTCTTTCTTATCCTATCCGTTATGGGATCTCCTTTACTAAAATTAGAAAAAAAAAACGATTCTAGGTTTTTTGGTAACATCCCACGTCTGACCTTGCCATCATTTAATGGGGTGAAGATCGTGAATCTATTCCTGTTTAGTCTAATTGCTGAGAGCTTTAAATGCATGCTTCAACCGATTTCAAGAATCATTTATTTTATGTTAATGGTTTCATAGTAGAAGGTATTAAAAATTCGGCTTGCCCGAAAATAACGATTTTTCACTTGTTTCCTTATTATTTCAGCAATTTAAGAATTCTTTTGTAAGATGACAACCATAGATAACAATTATTAATTATTCAACATTGTCGACATATATTACATATATAGTAATTATATTCAACTGAAATCTTTTGTCATTGCAGAACATAAAACTCGGAAAATTATTCCACTTCTCTACGAGAACATTGATATTCCAAGAACGTTAAACATATATACCCATTTACGATACAGTACCACATCACTTGGATTTTGTGATTACTGGGCGAAGTTAGCTAATTCCATACGTACCGTCAATATGGTTGTAGAAAACTCCACCAATGCGACTGCTTTCAAAAAGGATATGCATAGGTAAAACTTTATTTTAAAACTAATTGTATACATTAATTACTAAAACCTATAGAAATAAACTCTTCATGTATTTTTTATTATTCTTTCCAGTAGTACACCGCTTACTCCCAGTCGTCCAATGTCTGCAGTTACTCCTCAGAAGACAGCTTGCTGTCTGCCTTCTCCGCCTACAGATATACCAAGTATCAGCATTAACGGTGAAGCTGTATTGAGTTCGGATAATGGTATAAAGACAACAGCGCGTCCTAAATCTCGAGCATTTACATTGCGTCACAATAAAAGTGCCCACGTATTGAAAGAATCTTCAGTTTTACGCAACGCTCACTCAACTGGACAATTGTATACCTCATACGATTGTAACAATGCCGCTAGTATGTCCAACATATCAACATCTAGCGAAAAGAAAAAGAAGAAAAAGTTGACAAAGATTTTAAGTAAAGTTTTTTCGCGCAGTAACTCGAGGCTGCAGCAGCAACAAATTAGCAGCTCATAAAACGTTATATTTTTCTTTATTCTGTTATGACATTTTGTTTTTGTTGAAGTTAACACGTTTAGTAGTAACATTTCTTGCGTCATTTGCTATTACTTTTACAAAATTGTAAGAATCGTTATGTGAAAATTTTAAGCTTTTTTTATATATTAAGAAATAATAATAAAAAAAAAATAATAAAAAAGTTTGTCAAATAAAAGCTTTACCATTCGTTATGACCAGTTTTATTATTTACGATGGAACTCTTCCTTAGTCCTGTGATAATTTTGAGCATGTAATTAGCGGACGTATATAATATTTTCCAGCAATGTGGAGTTGAATCAAAGTAGTAATATCTCGGTAACTCGGTCTACGCTGTCCCAATCATTTTGTTCAAAGCCCATACATTATTAATATACTGTCTATATCTTGCACTATTTTTATTTCTTCAAAAATAAATTGACAACAAAAATTTCTAAACATAAAATGTTAATTGGACTCTGAGTCGTGTAAGTATGATAATATGAATCTAACGTTTGAAGACAATTGCTATGAAGTCCTCTGTGACGTGTATGCAAATTTCAAAATAATTGTGAAAGAGCCACAACCACTCCTCATATATATATATATATATATATATATATATATATATATATATATACAAGTTTTAAAGACAACCCCATTGGCGTTATTGATATCAGCAACCAAAACGAACCTATTGGACAATTAAAAAATACCTCAACATTCTGTTTAATTATTCATGATCGTCTGGTGGAGTATGTTCCATTGACAGAAATTGTGCAAAATGTAGTTTAAGTTACATCATACTCGCCTTTCTTCCACGTTAAAACAAAAACAATAAATAAATAAATAAAATAGAACACAGTTTTACTTAAATTTTAATTAACAAGTATTTTTATAAGTGTTATATAAATATTATACACATTAGTAACAATTTAGAAAAATAATAATATTTAAAAATTATAAAATACATTTATATTAAAAAAATATAAAATGCCACTTCCTTTAAATCGGACGTCATCCATTTGGTAAATGAGGTATCTGACAACTTAATTTTGCTGATCATTCTAGAAAAAATTGTATTGGAGGCAACATACTTTATTTAAGTATCTTGAAGTATAGATAGAAACATTAAAAAAACTGTACTATTCTATATAAATATCGAACAGCAAAACATCCAATTGGAAACAAAATTTGCGTCGGTATGGTTAACTTAACCAGCGTGCACCACCTTGTTTGCCTAGAAGCTCCGTAAGCTACCACGTTGCCGTCAACCATAACTTTGAAAATATATTGACGATATCATCGAACAGTATTTTTAATTTTTTGTTCTTTATAATACTAATTTATTTAATCTTAAAATTATTATATGAGTTTTGCCTTGTTAAGGCGAAGATCATATGTTTTATGATTTATGTGTTTGTTTTCTCTTTCGAGACGAGCTTAATGATCTGAAATTTGCAGTGAAAAGGAAAGTCAGATAGACACTATTACACACTCACCACTATGCGAGGCGTTTCGCCGTTGGTTAAGCGGCTCATCAGGCATATTTGGTGTGGATGATGGCTTACAAGGGCCGTTCTCTGGAAAGTAGTATATATTTCGAACTTATTGCAAATTAGCATATGCGAATTATACACTAGAAACTCTCTAGGTTCGACTCAAGTTCTATTGGCAGATCTTTTTCACAGCAAAGTTTTGTTTTTGTAGTGATGGATTTTTTGTCCACAACAACTACATTGCTTCCAATGCATACACTTGTTTTACTGCTGCTTTAGGAAGACAGGTTGATGGCTCTGAACGTAGAGACGGCAACTTCTAGTTGGCTGCACACCGAGGTCCGCGGTTCAAATCCCACAGTCAGGCTCGGCTGAACTTTTTGAGTTTTGCAAATTTCAGATCATTAAGCTCGTCTCGAAAGAGAAAACAAACACATAAATCATAAAACATATGATCTTCGCCTTAACAAGGCAAAACTCAAAAAGTTCAGCCGAGCCTGGCTGTGGGATTTGAACCGCGGACCTCGGTGTGCAGCCAACTAGAAGTTGCCGTCTCTACGTTCAGAGCCATTAACCTGTCTTCCTAAAGCAGCACTAAAACAAGTGTATGCATTGGAAGCAATGTTTGTTTTGGACAAAAAATCCATCACTACAAAAACAAAACTTTGCTGTGAAAAAGATCTGCCAATAGAACTTGAGTCGAACCTGGAGAGTTTCTAGTGTATAATTCGCATATGCTAATTTGCAATAAGTTCGAAATATATACTACTTTCCAGAGAACGGCCCTTGTAAGCCATCATCCACACCAAATATGCCTGATGAGCCGCTTAACCAACGGCGAAACGCGTCGCATAGTGGTGAGTGTGTGATAGTGTCTATCTGGCTTTACTTTTCACTGCAAATTTCAGATCATTAAGCTCGTCTCGAAAGAGAAAACAAACACATAAAATTATTATATTTTATACATAAAAAAAGGATAAATGAGCTGTTTAGCTATGCCGATCCAAATTTGTAATGTGCTCCAGCATGAGTTAAAGACATCTAAAAGTATCGGGATTGAATACTCTTAATTTTTTCCAGTGAAGTTGGTAGGTAAAGACTCTTCAAAACACCGTTAATCGATTATGCCGATCTCTTGCTAGAGTGGATGTTATCAATTGCGTATTTAAAAAAATATGAATGAAATCACCAAACTATTAAATATTTGAGTTTTCTCTGTATGGGTATGTAACAATATACGAGGGCAGTTCGGAAACTTTTTAGCCCAGTACAAAAAGCCCGGTATAAACAGAAAAAAGTTAAGTGCTTTGGAAACTTCCATCTCAGTTATGAATACATGTTAAATTTTGTTTCGATCTGGCAACTCCTTCATGTAGAAACAGGAGTTCAAAAATTATTTACAATGAAAAAATTAAATATTTACAGAAAAAGGTTTGTCGGGACAAGAAATTCATATCTCAAATGATCGAGCCCATTTAATTTTGCATGAAGAACTACAGAAGAAAAAGCTTTCTGCAAGATGGGTGCGCATTTGTTATTAGTCGATCAAAAACGCATAAGAATGAACATTTCTCAAGCTTGTTTGGAACGCACCACAATACTCCAGAGACAAAAGAACAATCCAAACAATGGACTGAAGCTGTAGGAAGTTCCCCAAAGAAGACAAAAGAAATTTAATCGGCTGGTACAGTTATGGCAACGTTTTTTGGGACTTCAAAGGTATTTTATTAATTGACTATCTGAAAAAGGGTAAAGGATTAAATTCAGAGTACTATTGCAACCTTTTGGATCAATAAAAATTCGAGAAAAATGTCTTGGCTTACAACCCAAAAAATTAATTTTTCATCAAGACATCACAAGAGTGTTTTAACAATGGCTAAAATCAACGATTTAAAGTACGAGTTGTTTGACCACCCTCATTCTCCTGATATAGCTCACTGTGACTTTTACTTGTTCCCAAATCAAAAAAAGAAAATTCCTTTCTGGCAAGCGCTTTACCTAAAATGAAGATGTAATTACAGTTGTAAACCAATATTTTGAAGACCTTGAGGAAAACTATTTTAATCAAGGAATAGAATTGCGAGAAAAGCGTTGGACTAAGTGTATTGAAGTTTCAGGAGATTATACTGAAAAATAAAAATATTTTTGAAAAACTAACTATTCTCTTTCATTGATAGGCTAAGAAGTTTTCGAACCGCCCTCGTAGTGGACCTATATAGACAACGTTCTGACAAAGGAGGTGAAATCCAACGAACTCTACATACGGAATTTAAAACAATTCCGTTTAAAACTGTGGCTTAAATCCCAAAAATACGGAATATTGGGCCAATGTATAAATGGCTAAACTCATTATACATTTTAAGTACCGAATTTTAGTCAAATACGATAGAAAACGTAAATCGAAAATGTCGGATATCAGGAGGAAAGGTTGACTAAAATTTAAACTACCTAGTCAAGATGAGAAACAGCCTTCATAAATATCCTAAAAACTTTTACAGTTTTGTTAATTCAAAAAGGAAAGTCCGCGAATTTCCTAGTAGTATAAGATTCGGTAGTAGAGAATCATGTGAATCTAAAGAAATGGCATAGATGTTTGCAGACTTTTTTCAAAGTACGTATTCCAGATATTCTACTAGTGGTGTAAATTACTTTTTAATATAGATAAACTAAATCAGTTTCCTCGTATCATTCTCACAGCAGATGAAATGTTAAATGGTTTACTGTCATTAATATATTTCAACTCATCGGGTCTAGATGGCATACCTCTTACAAGTATTTTTAATGCTTCGTTGTAAAGCTTATTTTGCAGTCATTTGGCGACCGAGCATAAATCCGACAGTAGATGCGTTATTGAGAATTACAGAGATATTGCCAAACTGATTGCAATTCCCAAACACGGAGACACTTTAGCACACGCCATTGCTTTCGAAGAGCAGAAAGTCTCTGGTCTGGCTCGTCCACCGCACGAGTTTGTGAGACATTGCCATACCCAATCAGGAAGTGATTTGGAGTAAGAGGCTTCTCTTCGTCCGCACTCACTGGCAGATGTGTAAGAGCGAAAGCAGAACGTGCTCCTTAGGAGAAATGTCTTTCAGCGTTTGGCGTAACACCTTTTTTACACACTGCACCATTCGTTCCCACACGCCACCCTCCGATTTGTTTGCAGGACAATTAAAAAACCACTCCACGCCTTTTGCTGAGAGCTCATGTTGAATACGACCAATTTCAAATACATCATAGAATAGTTGGGCTTCCTCGCTTGCATCAACGAAATTCTTTCCGTTATCGGATAGCATACGATGTGGCACACTTCGCCGGTTGATGAAATTTCTAAGGCATATTATAAAGCAATCAGTCGATAAACCATGAGCCAATTCCAATTGAATAGCTCGAACAGATAGGCATGTGAATAACGCTACCCAACGCTTTTCAGTTCTTCTCCCAATGGTGACAGTCCGAGGGCCGAAGTAATCAACACCTGTATACTGAAAGGGTCTGACACACGGTATAAGTCTGTCTTTCGGCAGTTGACCCATTAGCGGAGCTCGCGGCTTATCTTTCATTAGCCGGCAAGTCATACAATTTGATATGACACCACGAAGTGTTCGACGTATTTTAGTCACCCAGTACTTTTTCCGGACTTCACATATTATTGCTTCGTAGTTGATGTGCTTCATTTTTAAGTGGTATAATTTTAATG